ACTAGAAGCATTTGCCGAAAAAACTGGTGCCGGTAGCAACAAAAACTGCGGGGAACCATGCAAAAAGCGCATCTTCGTACGGGCAGCCCGTGCGTTGGCCAATTATTAGCATTTATGCAGTGTAAGAGCGCTATTGCAGAGAAGTTGTCTGTGTGTTCTGTGGGTGTGCCTGTGTTTGTCTGTCTGCATATTTCGATTTCGAGATTTACAAAAGCTGTGAAGCTGAAAATTTGGCAACTTAGTTTGTCACTGTTTACGGGTTCTCAGGTGCTCTATTAGGTGTCACGTGCGGATGCGTGAAAGAAGCGGGAAAGCAGTTTCGAGAACCAAAAAAGTTTTGAAGACCAGACAACTCTAGCAGGCTGGAGAAACAATATTAGCCCGAACAAGTTTTGACGGTAGAGATGGAAGCCATTTTAAACCTAATTAACGACTGTTGAACAAGGGACGGTCAAGCAGCCGGAGCCCACTACAGAACTTACAAAGCTATGCGCTTTTACGATAAGCTGTTGCGGGTACTCAGTGGATGAATGCGCCACTGTGCCAGCACATACTTGGTTCGTTTTCTTGATTCATCTGTTATTCTCGTACGTAAGCAAAAAAATTTCTGATTTATTAACGGCATCATTCTGAACTTATTATCATTTAGATAGTGAACTAATTCCTCAGAATTTCAAGCTCTGAGCTTGCCCCGGTCGGAAAAAACAATTAGTCTGAGTTTGGGTTCTGGGCGATGAATCAAGAAAAGGGAGTGCTGGATGTCTGTTCCAAGTTTAGGGACTTGCCGTAAACCATAATTTTTGAATTTCAACTCATCAGTTTTTGAATTCTAAAATCTGGGCCGGTTGTAATGCTTTTTTACACGAATTTTTGTGCCATGAAAATTGCAAAAAAATGCATATTTATAAAACGTGGCAAAGAAGCAAAATTGGAAATAATGGAGAGGCGAACGTTCCTCAGCAAATTTCATACCTCCTGGACCGGTGGTGGTGATAGATTCAAAAGTCAAAATGCAAATGGCAAATTCGAGTGAAGTAGTGCGTCATTGGATAAACAATATTGGTAACTTTTAAACGTAAGCGAGTGCAACCGCCTAGGAATACGCTAGTAATGCAGAATTAACTAGAGTGAAGTGAATTTTTCAAGGAGAGCTTTTACGGAACTTTCGTGCCTTATGGCATTAAATTAGCTGTAGGAGTTGCATTATCAAAATTCATTTTAGAGCTGACATGCACACATGTGCCTCCAGTAGCCAATGGCATTGTTATCACCGGTGAGCGATTTGAATTTGGTGATTTGGCTCGGATTGAGTGTCAACCAGGATTCCGGACTGTTGGTGCAGATTCGCTGAAATGCCTTGCCAATCAGACCCTAAGCGACGTTCCACAGTGTCGCGACATTGATGAATGCGCAGAAGGAACGGCAATTTGTAGCGCCCAGAGCACAAAATGC